GATTTAGCTCAGCGGCAAAAGCGCCTGCCTGGCAAGCGCAAGGTTGTGAGTTCGGTTCCCGGTACCGGAGAAAAACCAAAACCAAAAAAAATTAATTAATTAATTAAGATTAGATAACACCACAAGAGTGAGGCCCTTATTATGGGATTAGTGCCCTTTTAATAAGAGACAAAAGAGCCTGGGGATGTAACTCAGTGGTAGAGTACTTGCCTAGTATGCCTGAAGCTCTGGATTCAATTCCCAATACAGCAAAAATTAAATTAAATTTAAAAACTTAAAGATGAATATTGAAGTCTAGTTAACAGTATCTGTGACAGTGTATTCAGGAGGAAGTACAGTATACTATTTCTCTAACTTGAAAATGCATCCAAAAAACCCCAGTTAAGCTGGGTACCAAGATATGTAACTGTAGTCCCAACTACACAGAAGCTGACACAGGAGGATTGCTTGAGCCTAGGAGTTCGAGGGCAGCCTGGGCAACATAGCAAGACTCCATTTCTAAACACCAACATGGGCTGGGAGTGTGGCTCAGTGGTAGAGTACTTGCCTAGCACAAAGCCATGGGTTTGATTGCCAGCACTGCAAAAACAACAAAACAAAACACCTATGTCAATGAGTGGAGAGAGGGATGGCTAGATGGACACACACATGATGAGACAAGTATAACAATAGATTCTGGATAATGGGTATATGGGTGTTCGTTGTAAAGTTCTTTAAAGGTTGCGGTACTTTTTTTAAAAAAATTTTTTTTTAATTTTCAGAAAGGGTCTTGCTGAGTCATTGAACTACCCAGGCTGAGTTCAAACTTTTTTTTTTTTTTTTGATTGAGACAGGGTCTGGATATGTAATTCTGGCTGGCTTTGAACTCACTATGTAGCTCAGGCTGGCCTTGAACTTGAGGGGATCCTCCTACCTCAGCCTCCTGAGTGCTGGGATTACAGATGTGAGCTACCACATCCACCCATTACAGCACTTTTAGACATTTTCATAATAAAGTTCTGAGGGAAATGAAAAACAATCTTCTACATTAAAAAGAAACAGTTTCTAAAAAAAAAAAGAAAGAAAGAAGCAGTTTCTGAGACATAAAGAACAGGTGGCAGCTGGCTTGATGGTGAATGGCCTGCAGCATTCACCTATAATGGCAATGTGTTTACCCCTCAATCCCAAACCTTTCCTCGGCAGATTAATAGGAGATCCAGTGATGGCTTCAGCGACTGAAGTGGGGAATGGAGTACAAGGCCACCTGTTCTCTCTAGACGGCTACACGGACATTCAGCTTGCAATTACAGTAGAATACAGAGACGGGGCATTGTCTGGACATCTGGGCGAAGTTTAATAAGGTGAAATAATGTCCTTTATATCAGAGGTCTTAAAGAAGAAGAAGAGGATGGCAAAATAAAAGAATAGCATCTTTTGTGTTCATGTATATATGTATATTTCTAGACAATAAAGATGTGTTGTTTTTCAACTGAAAAAAAAAATAGTTTCTGTTCTCCAACCTTATCCATATTTACAAAACCTGAAAAGCTCTGAAAACAGCACATTTTCTGACAGCTCTCTGGAAGCAGACCATGGCCTGACCTGGGAGGAGTCTGGCTGCAGCTACACTGCCGCTTCCCACAAGCGCTTGCGTATTTCACTGTGGAAATATGAATCTGTTTGATTACCTGATACAGCTGTGTGATGCATGGCTTATCCTCTGCACCCGCTCTTGAACATCTGAAGAATTCTGAATTCTGAGATAAGCTTGGCCCCAAGAGCTTCAGGTAAAGGGCTGGCAATTCAAAATTTCTCAGTGAGAAGAGGGATGTGGTAGAGCACACCTGTAATCCCAGCACAGGTGGGGCACCCTGAGGCAGCTGGATCATCAAGAATTTGAGGCCGTCCTGGGCTACATAATGAGTTCAAGGCCAGCCTGGACTACAAAGCAAGACCTTATCAAAAAAAGAAAAAGAAAGCAGGATTACAGCCATGCTGAGATTTTTGTCGTGACATCACCCAGGTGCCACTCCTTGTGTGGGATGTCTTGTATGGCCAGCCCAGGGCCACAGGACGAGAACAAAGCAAACTGTCCTTTGTGAGCCAACCCACCCCCTGCCGTTAGTACCCAGCAGCCCCTAAACCACAAGCTCTGTTGCTACAAGCTTCATCTGAACCTGCATAGCTGGAAGAACGTAGCAGATGGCCTTAGGAGTGTGGCTTCTCTTGCTCAGTGTACTGCGGCTGAGTTGAACCCATGATGTTCATGGAGCTGTAGTGTGTGCTCCTTTTTACTGCTGTGTAGTAATCTGTCTGGGTGCACAGTCATGCGTTGACCCATTCACCTGTTGTAGGATATCTGGGTTGCTTCCAGTTTGGGGCTATCATGACTAAGGCAGTTTATGATACACTTTGGAGTGAACATAACTTTCACCCAGGGAAACACCTAGAAGTGGGATTGCAGGGCCACATGATAAGTGTTCTTTCACTTCATTAGAAATGGCCAGGCTG